GTCTCCGACAAAAACGAACAAAACGAAACGAAACAAAACAATAAAACAAAACAAATATCAATTCTCAGAACAATGTAAGCCAATCGCCATAGTAATTACACAAAGTCTCACGTGGACAGTCTCCTTTTTCTCCCCCCCCCTCCCCCGGTCACCCACACACATTCTCGAAAAGTCTGTCCAGAACTAGAGTACATTGCTGTATCATTATAGTAGATCCGTATCGGGATCAGAAAGCAGGAAATAAAACCATAAAAAAACAAACTACTACATATATTTGTTTTTGATGTCGTTTTGTGATTACTTTTTAAAATGTCGGTGGTTGTTGTTGGTTGTTTGTTTGTTTTCTTGTTGTGTTTTTTGGTTTGCTTGTTTTGTTGTTGCTTTTGTTTTGTTGTTTTTTTGTTGTTGTTTTTTTTTTTTGGGGGGGGGGTTGTTTGTTGTGGGTTTTTTTGCTACGCCCCCATCAACACAATTTAGATAATTTAGGAGGCAAGCTTTCTACCCTGCCAGCCAGGGTCAACCCAGGCAGAGATGGAGACATCGTCCCAGTAGAAACAACGAGATGGTAACATTTTTTCTCCCCATTTAGGAATTGAACTCGGGTCTCCTAAGTGCGACAACAAAGGGCCTAACCGCTGCACGACGTCGGTAGTCCGTAGTGGTTATTTTCGTTATCGTTAGGTTGCGGGTTCTACTTGTGGAGTTCAAGTCACAAACTGACGTTGGGTTCTTGGAAAAGACACTTCGTTGACTTATAGTTACAAAGTTCTATCTTATCAATACCTAGTTTTGAGAAACTTGACGCCAAAACTTTTTCACGCCATGCCAAGTTTTTTCAAAAGCTATTCTTTGAATATTTTGATAACGACTTAAAATAATCTTACGATTTTGATAGGGCAGATAGAGCAACTATCTTATTTTTTACCGCATGGCTGGTCTTAGTAACTCAAAACGGCCAAAAATGTGAGATAGAACTGAGGTACCTACTTCACACAAGTTTTCCTCACTTCACCCAGATAGGGGCTCTCTTGGTCAAGAGGTACGATTTTCACCTCAGGTCCCGGGTTCGAAACCTGACAGCGACGGAACATTTTCGTCTCTAAAATGTTCTCCTTTCGCCTCTTTTCCTGCTTTCTAACCATGTTCCGTCGTCTGCTTTTGTCTCCACTTTCTGTCCCCTCCCTCCCTCCCCTTTACCCCCTCCTCTTGGCTCTAAACTCTTTCTGTAGCCTTTCTACTGCTTCTTTTTGGCTCCTTACTGCTGTGTTTCAGCAACATCCCTGATTTTAGGGTAGATAAGATCGAACACCTAGCCTTCTAAGATAAGAACGACAAAATCTCGGAGGTTATATG